TATCGGTTATCGGCTACATGAGTTTTAAAATATCGGATATCGGCCAAAATCCCAATATCGTGCATCCCTAGTTCACACTGCAGGCCTTGATGCTCAATTCTAATTTTTTTGCGTTGCCGTTCACATTTCCAAATATATGTAACTTGTATGTGATCTCCTGTGTGATCTGCATTCATAGAGCTTAATTGTCCCGCATGCGCAGTAGAGGAAGCAATGACATCATAAGCCAGCGTGCTCTGTGTTTATGGAAGTTAGCATGGATGGTAGCGCTGGAGCGCGTCTTTCCCAACCTTAAAAACTCAATCATTCAAGATGGTTAAAGATAAATACTGCTCTCCGCATCATCGTCCATCTCGGTTGCTGTTTTTCTTTTCTTTATTTGAGTTTTTACGGCTCTAGTGGCTCGTTTTTCTGACAGTAGCCTGACAGGAAAGGGGGTATGAGCGAAAAACGATCAAGAAATAAGTAAAAAAATTCCTTATACTAAGCGTATTTACCCTTAATTTGAGCAGGTAAATGAGAGCATTTGCCAATGGAATGAGTATTTTTACTCTTAGAATAAGATAATTAGATAATATGCTCTTGAAATAAGACAATGCAGTTGTGTTTTCTTATTTTAAGTGTAAATTGTCTTGTTCTATTGGCAAAATTTCTCTTTTACCTCCTTAATTCAAGAACAAATGCACTTATTTTAAGAAAAAATGACTTATCTAGATTTCAATTTTTTCCAGTGAGAGAGAGACATGGAGCCAAGAACCCGGGTCGGCTGCGTGGAGGCCTAAGGTCTCTGTACATGGGTCGTGCGCGCTAACCACTGCGCCACCAAACTATGCCCGTTGTTGTTTTTCTTGCCGCTTCTGTGCAGCAAGATGCAGAATAGTGACCTTTATGGATGGAAGAGAAACGTCTTTAAACTTAGAAACAAAGAGCAGTGGATTGTTTTTTTTTTGTGTGGAGTGTTTTTCAGATTTTTTTAACATCTGACTGCAGTAACAGACACGTCCAGCCGCTGGTCGGGTTGACAGAAACTTCTCTGGTTAGTTAAACCATGCTTACCGTGATCTCCATGTGGCGAAACTTGCAGACGGTCCGGAAACAGCGTCCTTCCTGCCAGAGGTTGCAGACGGTCTCGTTGCCCATGGCGGCCTCGCAGTGTCGAAACGGGCAGCTGTCTCCCTGGTCAAAGCACAGAAAGCTTGTTTTCTCTGTTCTGGCTGCCAATGCGGCGCAGCAGCAGTGTCTGGCAGCTCTTACTTTGGTGCAGGTGGAGTAGTAGAAGAAGTAGCAGTCATCTCCATGGTTGGTCATAGTAACACGCGGCGGTGACCCAGCAGCTGGTCCCCCTCTGGAACGAATGGACTCTCCCTGATACCGACACAGACAAATCATCACCGACTTTCTACCAATCAGCTGATCCTAAAGGCTGCAGCGCCTTCTAACTGGACAACTTTGAAACTAACAGTTCAGTAAAGTTTAAAGAGAAGGAGGGAAACAAATTAGGCCATTCTTGCTGTTTACAACCCATTTAAATCTGCAATAAAGTTTATTTTTTTATTCCAAGCATAAATTTATTTACAAATGTTAATTTCCTAAAAGTACCACTTTATTTATTGAATGGATTAAAGCAGGGGTCCCAAAACTTTTTCCTGTGAGGGCCACATAACTTTTCCCTTCTCTGATGGGGGGCCGGGGTCAGTTTGTAACAGAAAAATTGTGACGATTGCAGAAGTGCCTAAATTTATGACGGGATTTATGTCTTTATGACGGGAGTCATAGTGTCTCTGCAGGTTATATTCTTTGAATACCGCCACCGC